CCCCCAAAAAAAAGATAAAACCAAGGAAAAAGAGACAAAACCACTCAGTTTTAGAAAAAATAGTTCTTAACTGCACATACAACTTAACTGTGAAGGCACACAGCCACACTGAGGCATCCTCTTCCTCTAGAAATGCCAAGCTTCTTTCCATCTGAGAATTTCTCACAATACAACACATCTGAGCAGCACAAAAACAGCTGCTGTTGCAGGATCCCAGTCTCAAACAGAAAGAACAGGAGGCCTGGCAACAGGTCTGTGCTGCGAACAGAACAGCTACACTGGGTGTTTCACAGTGAGAAGCAACCACCTCTCGCCAGGATTCCACTGGCCCATGAATAAACACATGGATTTCATTTTCTCATTAGAAAATACATTTCCAAATCAATGATGTTTTAGCATAAATTGCTGCGTGTCAGTAGAAAAGCAATGGGTATATACCATCCAGCCTTTTTCCAGGATAAATACTAGTTTCATTCTTGGCTTCTTAGACTTTGTGATCAGGAAGGGTAGCTTTCTAGTTGGACTGCTAGTGTCAAAAACCAGAAGTATGGCATAATCTGTTCAGGAATGTACAGAAAATGCATTTTAATCCACCTCCACGTCTAGTCCATGGATAGCAATGTTTTCTCAGTGCTGAGTCCATTTAATGCTTTTCAGGTCAATTCCATCCTGCACCATTTCCCAGAGGGGGCTGTAAAAACAGGATAAAAATGCGGGCTATATAAAATGCACAGAACAACAATCAACAATACCCAAACAGAGAATTTCATAAACTACACAAGAAATTAGGAGATACCCATCTACCTGTCCTCTCCTTCTGGAGATCAGTGACGATCAGTCCTCAACCATCACCTCAGACCAAAACATAAAAGGTGCGGGGCAGGTACTCCACCTCACTGCCTGCTCCCACTTTGGGCAGAAAGTACTCTTGTCTCTTAGAGCCCTCACATTTGACACTGTCCAGGTGAGTCAGGAGTCTTTTGGTTTCACCAAAATAAAGCAATTTAGCCATACGTAGATTCAGTAATACTATCTCTGGCTTACAAACTGCTAGGTACTGCCCCATGCGCTTGCCCTATTCATATTCTTTCCCTGAAAAAGGCAGGATCTGGGAGGTTTGCTATCAGACTTATTTCCTTCAGAATCTGTCACTACTGTTAAGATCAGGCCCCCTACCCACGCTGGCATCAGTGGGTGCTTATCTAGAGAGACACCACCAGATTTTTGAAGCAAGCAATTTACTTTCAACTAAACTCAACTCTTCAAATTATTATCAGACCTACAAAGTCTCTACCTGCAGTAAGATGATGGCTCACCTCATTTCCCTCAGCCTCTTAACATGCTGTATGCACTTCTGCACTGTATAATCCACTTCTCCTTCTGTAGTGAAACGACCGATGCCAAATCTAACCCAAAAGGAAAACATTAAAGACTACAATAACGTGCATATGGAGGGGTGGAACAAACCCACCACCTACTTTTAGCAGAAAAGAAAAACACATTTGGAAGCATTAGGGAAGACCACTCCACACACCTTATAGATGAGTGAGCCAAGTCCTCGTCTGTTCCGATTGCCCGCAGAACATACGAAGGCTCCAGAGAAGCTGAAGTGCAAGCACTGGGGAAAGGGAAGGCAGGCAAGTTTCAGACTTTTGTTCATGTGCAGATGCTGCACTGAAGCAACACTTCCCTAACCTCCTCCAACAAAGAACGGGTCGCTTACAGGTTGTTGTAAAGAGTCATAGTAATATTAAATGTCTGCATCGGCTACCCCAGCC